CCAGCCTTCTGGTGAGCAGTCAAGTGCTTTAGCCACTATGCAAGCTATATAGTACATTATAAATAATTATTTCCTCATCATAATAAAATGAAGAATTTCCACAGCAATAAAAATTAAGTCAGAAATTATATGGCTTAACCAGTATCAGCTATCTTTATATCACATTGTAAATGATGATATTTTTAAAAATTTTTTCCATCTGATGGGGAAAAAAAAAGTTCCATACTTTTTTTTTCTTTTTTAACATTTTATCATGGTTTGGGTGCAAGTTTACAAAGCAGATTCATTTTACTCTGAACAGTTCATGCACATTTGTTTCACAGCCCTGATCACAATTCCAACAATAAAAAGCTCTCCTGCCAATGACTACCTCTTCCTTGTGCCCTTCTTAAGTACGCATTCCGATCTGCCCAACCTTCCCTACAAGCAAATGCTGCCCTTCTGATGTCTCATGGTTGACTGATCCAAGGGGTACATCTCTGTAGGGTAGGTGGGTGCATCTCCTTGGAGTAGGTGTTCTGCTTATCAGCATTTCTACTGTTTGGCTGAAAGCAAATCCATAGAAGTGAGTCTAGTTCCAGGACCAAAGGATAGCCTGGGGCCATAGTCTTGGGGGGAGTGGGGGTGAGGGTTCCATCAGTCTCTATCCGACCAATTATTCTGGTCATTTTTGTGTTTTTGAATTTTGTTCCACAATTTTCCTTCCACTCTATCCAGGATCTCTGATTCTGATCCCTCTCCAAGGGGTTGGCATTGGTAGCCAGGCACCATCTAATTTTGCTGGTCTCGGGGTCATGGAAGCTAAGGTCCCCACTGTCCATCATGTTCTTGGGCTAATTGTTTCCATATGACTTGATTTTTTTCATTCTTTGCTCCAGGCAAAGGGAGACCAATAGTTTTGTCTTAGATGAAACTTAGATGGCTACTCAAAAGCTTTTAAGACCAAGTTGTTACTCACCAAAGTAGGATGTGGAGCAAGATTTTTATGTACTATGTTGTGCCAGTTGAGTTTTATGTCTTCTAATATCATGGTCCCAAGCCCACAGGCCTGGTCACTCTCTTCCTCAAGGTGCTTGGTTTCCCTGAGAAGCGACTCCGACCCTGTCCTTTGTTGCTTCTATAAAATATATTTTTGTAGCACAAATAACATGTCTAAGAATATCTTCAGCCAGAGCTACCAATGGTCATAGATATATTCCTATTCATCTATACACACCTCATCTTCTC